AAAAAGGTTGAGAAGCGAGAGGGTTGACATGTCGTGGGGTTGTTAACCAATGTCATAAAACAATATGTGTACTACTGTTTCATGAGAAACTATCTGTTCTGTAAACCTTCACCTGAAGTACAATTTAAAAAAAAAAAGAATTGATAAACATAATAGGCTGCTTCTCAGTTACTTATTAAGTTTCAAGTGTTTCTGTCTGTTATTTGGACTAGTATCACAGTATTTTGGTAATTATAGCTTTGTAATCCCTTTTAATATATGGTAGAGCTAATTTCTCCCATTCTTATATTGTTTTATTTGCCCCTAAACCCCTATTACTAGTACACTAAAGTAGTTAAGAGACTAATTCTTGAAGTTAGGCAGATTTAGCCCAAATCCTTGCTCTACAATTAATACCTGTGAATGTCATTTAATGTCTTAGAATCTCTATTTCCTCATCTAGCCAATTAAGAGTAATAATACCTACAAGGATATTAGAAGAATTAAATGAGAACACTAGTATATATCTAACATATACTTAATATATACTTGATTAATGACAGGCATTATTCTTATTATTTTTTAAGTTAGGCATAAATATCATTTTATTATTTGAATCTGTTTTGTAAAATTATTCTTTAGTTTTTTTTATTCTACTGGACTTTTACGAGGAATTAAATTTGCCTACAATTGCTAAGATGTACTCTGTGGAGAAATCAGTATCTTTATATAACATGAAATTTTTCAATCAATGAATTTACTTTTGTCTGACCTTTTATTCTCATCTTTTAAAAATGTGCATGTGTAAAGTTTTTCACTGTTTATTCATATAGCTTCTATCCTATATTTCACTGAGGTTACTTGTATCTAAGCTTTTATTTTTAAGTTGAACATTTTTCCCCAAGATATTCTGAACTGTTTGTTGCTGATATATAGGAAACCTAATGATTAAATTATATCACTTGACTCAATTCTCATTAGTTTTTCAATATCTTCCTTTATAATCACATTTTCTGGAATTATGAAGAGTGTTTTCTAAAATTTACAGTAAAAATCACAAAGAGAATGGTCAATAGAAAATGACCTTTTACATAAAAACACATCTTGTAAATTTGCAAAACAAACATAAACAAGTAGTTTTTGCCTTATCAAATAAGAAAAGAGAAAATGAGACTGAGAGTAGTGAAATGGGAACTTGTCGCTAAGAAGAATATACCCTGGAAAGATTCTCTTGGAACTTTACTTGATACACATCAAAAGTCTTGAAAATGCTCATATCCTGTAACTCAATAATTCTACTTTTTACAATTAGCTATTGGAATAATACTGGAATTGGAAGAAGGACCTGGCAATCTACTTCTGAAAAAACTGGCCAATGAAAACCTTAAGAATAGCAGAACATTGTCTGATACAGTGCCGGAAGATGAGTCCTTCCGTTTGGAAGGCACTCAAAATACAACTGGGGAAGAGCTGCCTCCTCAAAGTAGGGTCAACCATAATGATGTGGATGGAGTAAAGCTTTTGGGACCTTCATATGCTGATGTGGCATCATTCAGAATGAGAAAAAACAGTTGCAAATATCTATTAATAATTAGAATGTGGAATTATGAAGTATGAATCTAAGAAAATTAGAAGTGGTCAAAGATGAAATGGAAGGCTTGAAAATCAATATTCAGGCATTAGTGAGCAGAAACGAACTGGTATTGGCCATTTTGAATCAGACAATCATATGGTCTGCTATGCTGGGAATGACAACTTGAAGAGGAATGGTGGCACATTCATAGTCAAGAAGAACATTTCAACATCTATCCTGAAGAACAAAGCTCTCAGTGATAGGGTAATATCCATATGTCTACAAGGAAGACCAGTTAATAGGACTATTATTCAAATTTACGCACCAACCACTAAGGCCACAGATGAAGAAATTGAAGATTTTTACCAACTTCTGCAGTCTGAAATTGATCAAACATGCAATCAAGATGCATTGATAACTACTAGTGATTGGAATGCGAAAGCTGGAAACAAAGAAGGCTCAGGAGTTGGAAAATATGGCCTTTGTGATAGAAACGATGCCGGAGATCATATGATAGAGTTCTGGAAGACTGATGACCTATTCACTGCAAATACCTTTTTCAACAACATAAACAGCAACTATACACGTGGACCTTGCCGGATGGAATACACAGGAATTAAATCGACTACATCTGTGGAAAGAGATGATGGAGTAGCTCAGTATCATCAGTCAGAACAAGGCCAAGGGCCAACTGCAGAAGAGACCATCAATTGCTCTGCAGTGGAGTGAATTATTTAATATGGCCCTTCTAGCCATAGTTTTTGTAAGTCCCACCAAATAACTTGGTGTGACTATGCAAATGAAGTGCCTGTGGCCCACCAAAGGGATTGGATAGCTTGCTAATAATGTAAATAAGGTGAATGGCACCCTTGTGGGGGTGAGACCATGCAAATAAGGTGTGCGGAACTCTAACGAGGGGATTGGTCAGTTTTGCCATCCCACTAGGCTTAAAAGAGCAATCAATCCCAGAGTGGGAA